AGTTTAAAAAAAACTCCAGGCTTAAAAAAGTTATTGTTTAAAAAGCTACCAAATTTAGATATTGTAACAGAGGAAGACTTACAAAATTACAAATTGTTACTTTTGGATACTAATACAAACAAACGTAGTTATGATCCATCCAAACCGATTAACAGTAACAAAGGATTTAAATATATGCATGTGATCAAACCATTGTTTAAGCACTCGAGAAATCATAAAAGTAGTGTAGAAAGTCTTCCAAAGGGAGAAGGAGTTGATATTTTAAAAGAAGTTAAAAAAGATACTGATTTGGTTTACTGGAACGATCCAAACGAGTTAGTGGAACGATTAAAATTACTACTTGGATCATGGGCAGCTGGTAACACAGGGGTTTACAATGAAATTTATGCAATAATCGAAGAATTGCATGAATCTGGCATCATAAAAGACATTAAATATATTAAGCTGCCTACAGGAGGATTACGCAGTACCATTTCATTACAGAAGCCGATAAGACGGCTACGAATATAGACAAATCATGTTCATAAGCGTTTACGACTATCTCAATGCTCTGATATTCTCAGCGACGCTTTAGTAAGAACAGACGCAGGTGATTTTGATTTGAAATCAACAAGATTAAAAGGACTGCAAACTCCTGAAAAAGAATATGAGGCTGTGAATATATAATATGTGGATAAATGTGTTCAAGAACTTAAAAATGAAATGGAAACAATTCACAATAATGTCAAAAAGTACATTAGCAGTTTAGAAAAATTGACTGCTAGCAATTTCAGGACATTGTATTACACTAAAAAGGAAATCGACCTCATGATTGCATCAAAACCTACCCAAAATGATTAAACAAGTAATATAGTCAATGAGCTTCACAAAGCAGCAAGACGAAATTTTTCTCGTCAATATACGATTATTAAAGGAATAGATGATTTATGGCAAGCTGACCCGATTGATTTTCAAAAATATTCAACGTTTAATTAAGGATATAAATATGATGTTCTAGTAGTAATCGATGCTCTATCAAAATACGTATGGGTTAGACCATAGATTACTGTATATATACTAGAGAGGTTAGACCATTGAAATCGAAACATAAAAATTGTGTCAAAAATGCGATGCATAGTTTATTAGAATAGAGATTTACAAACGGATCTCGGTACAGAGTTTTATAATGATTCTTTTAAGAATTTGATGAAAAATTATAATATAAATCATTATTCCACGTACTCCGTTAAAAAGGCTTTAAAAAATCTCTTAAAAATCGGCTTTACAAAATATTCAGTCTATGCGGACGATATCAATGGTTCAAAAATAATTTAGATTTTGTTGTAAAGCGGTATAATAATACTTTACATCGCATTACAAAATTCAAGCCTATCAACGTTAATGATTCAAATGCGATTTTAGTTATGTCAAACATCAAGAAGTCTCAAAAACCTAAGATACGTCAAGGACCAACGTTTCACGTTGGCGGTTACGTTCGTATAAGCAAATAAAAAGGAGATTTTTATAAAGGTTATACCCCTAATTGGTCTACAGAAATATTTCGTATTGTTAAAGTCAACCAAACCAATCCTCAAACCTATCAAATAGAAGACAAACACAATCAAAAATTCTAGGCTCTTTTTACGGTTACGAACTACAAAAAACTAAATTTCCAGACCTTTAACTTATTGAAAAAGTCATTAAAAGAAAAGGAAATAAGCTTTTAGTAAAATGGTTAGGTTTGAGTGATGACGAAAATAGTTGGGTGGATAAAAGTGAATTAGTGGTGTAGGTATATAAATAACGTATTATTACTTAATAATCTCATTTTATACTTGGTGGAGCGACGAGCCTAAGGTTACCGAAGTCTAATTCCCCGGTCGAACCTTAAACCTATTACGCGAGATATTAACCAAAGTGGACTGTATCTGCTTAATGCTTCTACGCTTACATAAATGACGACTATAGCACGCGGTACAATGCACTCGCTCTTCCCCAAAACGAACCTCCTTGGAATCCTGCTTGATTAGGAGAAAATAAATTGGAGCGGACACAATTATATCAAGCAGTAACTAGTAAGGAATGTTCACTCACCGAAGTGTTTTCTTCTATGCTGCTTGGGCACTATAGCTGCGACTTCTGGAAGATACTCTGGGTAGACCCTCTGGGGCCCCAGCCTTTCTTCTCCGGTGATACGTTGGGAGAGAGTGCGGTGCGCGACTATTTCTCACACGAGGTGAGGCGGGTTTCCTGGAGCTCGACTGCTTCAGGCTGAGCGGTTATACTAGCGGTGCGCGTGGGCAATAGCCCTTCTATGATACTATTGTCTTAAGCGGTGTGGTTCCAACGACGAGCGCGGCGGGAAGAGGGCGCGCGTAGGCCGCGCGTGCCTTTTATTCCTTCGGTTGCGATGATTGCGTAATATTCTAGAATCATCTTCTTTCCCCTCCCACCCCACCATCCCGATGTGTCAATAGGAGGGTATGAATGATATCGTTTGGAAAGGGATAAACGATTTGGCAAGCCTACCGTCAAATAAATAAATACGAATGGTTTTCCGCGCAACCAATACTTATCGATGAAGGAAGGCAGTGGTATAATTAATAAAGTAATAGACAATTTACCGTTTGAGTTACATTTACCTGGCTATCAATTTTGCGGTCCCGGAACGAAACTTCAAAAACGGTTACTCAAAGGCGATCGTGGGATAAACAAATTGGATGAAGCGTGCATGCTCCATGATATTGCTTATACTAACAAAGATTCGGGCGCTCGACAAAAAGCGGATTTAGAACTTTTGAAAATGGCTAAGAGGTGGTTGGAATCAGAAGATGCTAGGAAAGGAGAAAAAATTGCCTCACGGATAGTCAAAAATGCAATGAAAGCGAAAATCCGGGCGGGGGAGTGGTATAAAAGCATTTAAGAAGGGGATAAAAAAATACAGTCTCAGTTGAAAAAACTAAAATCCAAAGACAGTCACTCGGCTATAAAATATGCCTATGCAGCTGCTAAGAAAATATTTAGTAATAAAAAAGGAATAAGTTTACCCCGTTGTATTCCTCTTCCAAAGTGTGGAGGACTTTTACCCCTTATTCCCATATTTGCGGGATTGTCAGCTTTAGGATCATTAGCTGGTGGAGCAGCGGGTATAGCAAAAGCTGTTAATGATTCAAAAGCAGCACAAAAGAATCTTCAGGAATCTGAAAGACACAACAGAATGATGGAAGCCGCTGCTCTAGGAAAAGGATTATACATTAAATCTCATAAACAAGGAGCAGGTTTATATCTTAAACCCTCAAAAAACTAATTAGACGGCTACCCAGACGGGCGCTCACTAACCTCGACATATTAGAACATGCAAGTGACATTCCATACTTTCGCGGCGTTTTCATGAGAAATAAATTACCTTTGAAACCGAGAAAGATAGAATGTGGAATACTGAATTTGGATAGCTACAGAAATCCTGGAACGCATTGGGTAGCCTTTGTAAAGCACAATAAATACGTAGAATATTATGATAGTTTTGGTAATTTAAAGCCCCCCGTTAGAATTAGTTAAATATATGCATAACTTACCTATTAACTATAATTATGCGCGACATCAAGCGTTTGGTGCTACAAACTGTGGACATCTTTGTCTAAAATTTTTAAGGAATTACTGGAAAAGGCATTTATATAGTGTATGAAGTAAATAAACGTACCAGTATAAAAATGTCTTTCACTGTGTCTATAACTGGGACAAGAGCCTCTTTATCTACGAACTATTCACCGACATTAGAACTACGAGGAGACTACGAATGTGGCCTTTTGTATTTTTCAACTTTCAATTCTATGCCCAATATAGATGAAAGAAACAATAAGTTTTATTAAGCTATTGCATAGCTTCTATCGCGGGCCTTGAGCGTGGGGACCGAATCCAGAAATTTATTCCGCCGTAACTAAAAAACCTCACGCTCCCCACTCCGACGGGCACGGAGGTGTGGCTTGAAGGCCGTGCATTGTCTAACGTCGTTTCTTTTCAATTATTAAATTACAATTTAGAGATTGAATGTAAATCATATTGATATAAGCACAGACAAAAATAGCGGAATATAAATAAAATTTTGAAAAAAAAAAACAATCTCAAAATTTTATTAATGTTCCGCTAATTTTATCTGTACTTACCTATGTCAATTTGATTTACATTCGATTATAATTATATTCTCAGACGTGCAGGTTAGGGAATGCAAATCTCGCGAGATTGGGGCTCAAGCGAGATCCCGCGAGTTTATGAATAACAATACTGCGAGATCTCGCCAATTTCGAGATCTCGCGATATTAGCAGTTTTATGTGTTTTTTTTTTGCAAATAATCACAATATTTAAATAAATTAGGAAAAAAAAATATAAAAACTATAAGTATTATAAGATAAACATTTATTTTCACGAATTTTTTCAATAGACTTTTATGCATCAAACATTGTTTGACGTATCTGTCTATAATTTTTTAATAAACTTCTATCAAATAACAAATAAAAGAAACAACCAGTCTTCTCTTCTAATATCAAACAAAAATCTTTTAGTAATAAAACAGTTCTTTTATAACAAACAAAACAACGAGAAGTAAAAAAAATGAAACTTATTATCTAAGTTGAGTTGACTATTAAACTGAGATATTATTATCAATTAAATAAAACTATATCTACTCAGTAGATCCATTAGATATTACAGATTAATTAACAAAATATATCAATTAGTCAGACTATTAGAAATTACAGATTAATTAACAAAATATACCAATCAAATGAAAAATTTGTTCAGTTCAAATCACGAGCCATTATTACGAATTATTTTGAAAGTAGCTCCTTAAGAAGCACAAAATGTCCAAAGAATCGTCTGCTAAACGGCTTCTTATTTTGTTGGCCAGATAACCAGCCGCTGAGAAGGCCCTTTCGGATTCAACGCTAGTTGGAACCACAGATCTCAGGCAGTTATCAACAAACCGTAAAAGTTCGCCTTTTTGACCCCCCGGACTCGTATAAATTCATTTCCTTTTTATTAATGCCTCCAGAGAATTCGTAGTTAGTTTTCTGTCTCTAGGTTCTTTGAACGCAGCAGTCAATGTTTCCTGAAGTTCTTCTTGCAATGAAATACTCTTGCGTATCTCAGAAAGAGATGAAAGCTGTTCATTATCGTCATCCTCAAATTCAGCTATATCATTAGCGGTGGCAGCTGATGTTGATGCGATCGACCAAGATGGATCTGAATTTGTCTCTGTCTGTGAATTAGTCAGATTGTATTGCGGATGCAAACGCTCTATAAGTGATTTAATTTCAGTTCGAATCACATTTTTCGGAGGCAATTTAAATGTTTCGTCTTTCGCAAACTCTTCTTTATCTGCTTGGTATTTAGCTGGATCTCTAATATACAACAAGCATGCTGTCAAATTCGTCCGACGCTCAACAATGCGCTTTCTCAAGGAGCCAGCTAGTTTTTCTGCCAATGGAGTTTTTAGCTCTTCCAGTTTGCGAATCATAAACCTAAGTGTTGTTTCTGCGATAGCCAAGTCTGTATCTTGACGACATAACACCTCCACAGCCAGTTTTACAGGTTGAAATGCCTTGTCTAAGTTCGCTAAAACCGCATGTTCTTCCGCATTCAAACAGTAGTTCGGATCAGCTTCCAGGCTAAGGTCGATCAAAGCTTTGCTGACACATAGCTTGATTCTAATAAATGTAGAAATCATGTCTGCTAGGTTCGACCATCGAGTTTTACAATCAAGTTGTAACTTAATATCTTTTCCAAATTCTTGCTTTACGTATATTTGCAGAGTATCATTTTTAGTAGGTGATCTTTTAAAAAGTTTCACCAATTTCCTAACTTTCTCAATAATACCCGCATATTCTGCATCTAGGTATACTTCTGTTCTGGGCATAGAGCAATGAAAAACATCATCTTCTAAGCCTGAGCCTGTGCTAGAAATTTCGTCCATTTCTAAAGGAATCTCATCGTCGTTTTCCTCATTTTCAGATTCTATCACAGGTTCCTCAACATCAGTTTGTTTTTTATAAATAGTATCTATTATGCCAAGTTGAACACCATGGGCATAGCAGAGCTGATGTGAAAGTGATATCAATCGACCCAACTTTTTTCATCACACTTGCCCCATCTGTAGTAATATTTATAATATCTGTTTCCAGAATAAGGCCAAATTCGATTAACTTTGTTTTCAAAATACTGACACCACTTTCAGCAGGCATACTTCCAAAGACGCGAATCAGCCCCAAGTTCCAAAACATAGTATTGCCGTTCAAAAATGTGTGTACGTTTACATTCATGTATCGCTTGTTCATAGAAGAAGTCCACTCATCACATGTTAGCGTAAATCTGTGATCATTCTTCTTCAGTTGAGCCAATTCACGCATTATTTTCATTTTCAATGTCATGCCATAATTCATAACTATAAGTTTAATTGTGTTTGGGGACATAGGCAGTTTGTGTCCAGAAGAATTGAAGAGATTTCTCATATCTGTGGAAGTACAGAAAACACGGAAAGGTAGTCCATCTTTGGCTACCATTCTTGATATTTTTTTCTCCATAGAAGTATCTTCAACCGGGAGGAAATGATCAGTAATTTTTTGCCTCTTCTTTCTTGCTGGTGGCACTGGTGCCGACGATCCTGGTGATTCTGGACTAACATTCGACGTAGATGCGGATGCTGTTACTAATTCCATGTTTTGATTAGTAGCCCCAGTATTTGATGATGGTGGCGGCAACGTCAACGGCGGGGGTGATATGACATTCTTCGTTTTCGTGTCAATTTTATGAATCGATATTAAATGCACATGTAAGCCACGCGGAGATCGATCTTTGGTTTTAAGAATCTTCTTACAAAGTTTGCACTTAGCACTCAATCCATTTTCCGCTCTCAAAAAGTATTTCCATACTTCCGACACACTCTCATAGTCTTTATAAACTATATTCGCCGACATTGTTCGTTATTCCACTCGTAAATCACATAAGAAACTTTTTTTTGCATAAATAACCAAAAAAAATACTCGAATGCAATCAAACTCAATTACGTTAGCTAGCAACAAGGCAACAACCATTAGTAAACAAAACAAATGCGCGCTGATGACACTGTACGCCGGCTCAATTTTCGACCAATCGCACGCACGAACGAGTCTGAGAGACACCTCGTCCCGCGACCGAAACGCACCGAACGAAACCGACAGATCGCAACTCCGTCCGTGTCAGTCCGCGCTTCGAATAAGACGTTTTTATGCTCGAGTGAAATCTCGTTAAACTCGCGAGATCTCGCCTTTTTTTCGTCCGAGATCAATCTCGCTAAAAAAAGGCCGAGATCTCGCGAAAACGAGATCTCGCGAGAACGAGATTGCATTCCCTAGTGCAGGTTTCCTCAATATGTTTTCCTTCACCGCCGAGCACGTGGTAAATCAGCACAATTGCAATTAACAATTTCATTGGTGCCGGCGGGGATCGAACTCGGGTCTGCATGTCTGAGAAATTAAAAAATATATTTTTCAAAGACATGTGAAGTTCGTCAACACGCATTGAGGCAGCGTGGCGGACATTTCCTTGCCTTAAAACCCTCTCAGAAATTAGAGGAGGCCTGTGCCCAGCAGTGGGACGTATATAGGCTGTAACTTTACTTTTTTTTACTTTTATAAATATATTATTTTACCGACGAAAATTTTAAAGAAAAATAAAAAATAAGCAACCGACAACCTCCTAGGTCCCTAGGTGACTTGCGAGATGTCAGTGTAACAAAACAAAACGGCCCAGAAAAACAGACTTTCCAACTGATAGCTAAATCAGCACGCAACAATTTCATTGGTGCCAGTGGGGATCGAACCCGGGTTGCTCCCGTACTGTGATACTTATAACGAGCGCTAACCATGTGAGCAACCACGGCTCTCAACGACATCGTTCCGTTCGTGTACAGCGCTGAAGATAGCAGAGTAAAAAATTAGAGATTGTGGTGTTTGAAATTTGTCATCCATGAGAGTGAATTTTATCTGTGTACTCTGTAACAAATAACTATATAGAAAAAAAATGTGAAAATGACATTTCGCCATTTTTGTTTGTGTACTGGTTAGGAACTCGATCAAAAATTTGATAATTTTTCTGTTTTTATACGTTATTTCTAAAAAAATGTGAAAATGACTATTCGCCATTTTTGTTTGTGTACTGGTTAGGAACTCGATCAAAAATTTGATAATTTCTCCGTTTTTATACGTTATTTCTAATGTTATTTTACATCAAATTAATTGTGAAGATATTTTCTTTTGGAAATATGTATCATTACGACGATTCAAAAACGTTTACATATAATAATTTACCTCGAAATTCACTATACGTAGCGATTATCGTTTATTGATTATATGTTGTTTAAAAAGTATTCTTATCAGTTTTTTGTGTTAAATGGATGCTAAATATAAAAGAATGCTTCAGTATTGATAGCAATTTATTAACGAAATATCTGTTGAGATGTGTCTAGAAATTATTAATACTTATTTTTATTTATTTATTAAAATAATAAATAAATAAAAATAAGTATACATTTATCTATATTGAGTACTAGTTGTTCCCCGCGATCTCGCCCGCGTGGAATATGGATTTCATGGGTTTTAATTTTTTTGCGCGGAACCCTAATTCTTTTTCTAAAACAAAAGTAGTTCAAGTTATTCCTTATATCATCAGCTATCTGCCAGTGAAAGTCCCGTCAAAATAGATCCAGCTGTTTCGGAGATTAGCTGGAACAAACAGACAGACAGACAGACCGACAGACAGATAAAATTTTTAAAAATTGTGTTTTTGTTACTAGTACTTTCATATGCATTTAATAAAAAGCTAATTGATAGAATCAGGCGTTTCTTTGCGGAAATCCATTATAATAAAAAATAAAATTTTCTTTACTTCTATGTGTGTTCTCAAGTTAGTTTTTTTTTTTTTGCGTTGTTTTAACATTACAAACAGACACTTCAATTTTATTTATTTGTAGATATAGATGTATTATTCATATTGGTGTCATTTTAAAGGGAATATCATGTACTATTATAATAATAAAATAATTGTCTCCAGTAAATATTATACTTTTCTTGTAAAACTCGAAATAAAAAATAAATACGATTTATTTTTATATCCCCATATGCTTTATTTTAACCCTTTATTTTTTATTTGACCAATTTTCTTTTAACAAAATTAAATTCTGAATTCGTTGCGCTTTTTGAGAATATTTTTATTTGAATGTTAGGTAGGTAACCTATATTAGTTTTTCAGTAGTAATCGTTTTTGTTGCGACAGTCTCGCGCGGTAGTAAAAAAAGTTACTGCGCGAACAGGTGGGACGAGAATCACTTGCCCGGCGTTGACGGTTCGGTGGATAGGTACCTACATACTGTTATTACCTAAATATCCATAACCTACTATACAACAAAATTTGACAATTCGGTGGTCGGGGCCAAGAAACTGGCTACCTACCTGCCTAAGTACGTCGGTACTAAGGAAACAGTCTTGACGGGTCACTTGTCTTGATAAAAACATGTGTTTACATCTAGTGATATTGTGTGTATATAAAAAAAAAGTAAGAAGACAGGTAAGTATTTTTGAAAACAATTTATAGGTAGGCAGAACTAATTACAATTATTATCTAAATATTATAAATGCGAAAGTTTGGATGGATAGATGTATGTTACTCAATCACGCCAGAACAGCTGAAGGGATCTGGATGATATTTAGCTCAGAGATAGGTTATACCTAGTCTGGAATAACACATAAAAAATATTTAGACGTCATTTTTCTTCCAATCTTGCTGTACTGAATATTTACGTAGTCCTTATATTAATAATTATAATTGCATAAGTTGATACAAAATGCTATGCAATAGCTTTACCGCGGCAGTCCCCGAGTGCCACACGTCTTTTTATGGTGAAAAAGAAATGACCGAAATTCCTGAAGGGTCTTACGAGCTTCAAGATATTTGTGATTATCTAAAAAATAATATTAAGAACACTGTACTAAAATTAACTTGTAACAATAATACATTGAAAACAAATATTTTTTTGCTCTGGAGATGTGCACTTTAACAGAAGCGAATCACTGTGTAAAATTTTAGGCTTTGGTATGGAAACAATAAAAGCAAATATAAGTACTGAATCAAAGTATCATCTCAGTATTCTATCGACAACCATCGTGCGGATTGAATGCGATGTAGTTAGTGGTTCATTTGTCAACGGGAAAGCAAGCCATATAATTTATGAATTTGCACCTAATGTACCACCTGGCTACCGAATAATTGAAATACCTAGAAATTTGATTTATTTTCATGTTAACCAAAGTTCCATAAGTGCTATCAATATAAAGTTATTGAACGCTGAGAATAAAGAGAGGTGAAGAAGTACAACTGTATTTACATTTCCAAAAAAAATATATGATAAATTTCAATAAAAGCCCGTCTACTTCGTGTATCCAAGCCAGTTTTAAAAGAACATCTCATAAAGGCACACCTCTTCAGCTGAAAAAGAAGCCTACCAAGTCTAACAAAGAATTTCTTAAGCTAGTTGGCTTGATAAAATGAATATTTTAAACGTATCTCAACAAACATCATACGATAACAGCATTGAAAGTTTTGAGTATCATTCATACAAACCATATGTAACTAGTTTTAACAAGAATGACGAAATACGTATTTCTATTAATCAGCAACACCTGTACGTACTACCTTCACTCAGTAGTTTATATATCGAGGGAAAGGTGAACGTTTACAACAGCACCACAAAAGAAAAGGTGTCAAACGTACATTTTGTCAATAATCCTATGCTATTTCTTTTTCAAGACGTACGATATGAACTTAATGGAGTAGAAATAGATAAAATTAAGAATGCTGGTGTCACTACTACAATAAAATCTTATCTATCCTTAAATGAAAATGAATCCAAATGTGCTCGAGTTTGGGGCTGGTCAACTGGCGGAACTAGCAATACTAGCGGTGTAGCGTTTTCAGCGTCTATACCATTGAACAAGATATTAGGATTTGCAGAAGATTATGCAAAAAATATAATTAATTGTAAACATGAGTTAGTATTATTACGAAGCAATACAAATCTTAATGCGATCAAGTTAAATATAGGTGAAGTTGTAGAAGATATTATAATAAGTAAAATTGTTTGGCGAGTTCCACACATCAAAGTATCAGATCGTGAAAGAATCAGACCATTAAAACATATAGAAAAAGATAGAGCTATTCCATTGGCATTCCGTTCCTGGGACTTATATGAGTATCCATTGCTACCCAAAACACGTAAACATACTTGGTCTATAAAAACTTCATCGCAAATAGAGAAACCACGATTTGTGGTCATTGCCTTACAAACCAACCGCAAACATAACGCAAAATTATCAATGGCAGAGTTTGATCATTGTCACGTACGAGATGTAAGAGTCTTTTTAAATTCATCATATTATCCTTATGAGGGGCTGAATGTCAGTTTTTCAGAAGATAAGTTTACTTTATTATACGATCAGTATGCGAGATTTCAACAGTCGTATCATGGACGCCGGTCAGAGCCGTTGATGGGTTTAAAGGAGTTCAGAGACGTGGCTCCATTATTTGTAATTGATTGTTCAAGATAACACGAAACTTTAAAAGGTTCGATCGATGTGAGAGTTGAAATCGAAACAGACCAAGAAATACCAGATCAGACAAACGCTTATTGCTTGATATTAAACGACTGTATATTCGAATACAAACCACTGAGTAATATCGTTAAGAAAATATCATGAATAGCAATACAATATTCGTCGATCTTCAAGGCTTCAAAAATAGCAAAAATTAATTTGGAATTTAGTAAAGGAGTTTGCTATAGCCACTTTAGAGTACACCAATATATTCCTAATTAAACCTCCTTACCCATTCACTTCACTATCTCTTGAAGAGAAAAAACAAATTGGCTGGATTGAAAAGCACAGAG